CACACTCAAGTTTTTTTCAACCTAATCTTCTCCCCACTCTCTGATAGCCTGGGTACCATCCGGATTTTCGCTCCGCAACGCTTGAAAAAATCACCTTTTTTATTTTTTCGAGCGTTGCGGAGCAAAAATCTGGATGGTCGAGCGTTGCGGAGAGAAAATCTAGATGGTACCCAGGCTAACTCTCTGACCCTGTGTTCAAGTAACAGGAGCCCAAACAAATTCGGCATCCCTGGAGGCAGAAATTCAACTTTGAAGCTCAACTTATCCTGGTTTAGTTACAAATTTGTCCTGTCTACTGGTATTAAGCAGTTAACTTGTTACCAAAGACCAAGTTGTAAACATTGTGAGAGCAGTGTGTATATGTATGCATACGTTTGTTATCACAAATTCAATGTTGATTCCATGGATATATGTATATAAGTGTAAGATCACACTACAGAGGAATTTCTGAGAAAAATAGATTATTTTGCTGGCCTCTATATCTGAGCCTTTCATACTTGGAAGCCATTTATATTGTTTTCTATTTTTGAGTTGAGATTGAAAATTGGCTTGGTTTGGACTGGAAGCTTTTTTATGAGGCACTAGCCGTGGTGGGAACTGTTGTGTTTTTGTAGACAGTGCCAATATTTGTTAGGCAAATGTTAGCGGAGGCGACACTGTGGTGTATCTAAACCAGCAGGGCCAGGCTATAGCTAACGACACAGGGACTGATAGATGTAGTCAGGTCTGGGTGTGGTACACACTGAACATTTTTTTTTTCATTATCTACACACTAATGAAAAACTTGTGCACCACCAGAAAAAAAAAGGCCGAACATAAACTGACTGTACATATTTGGGGCATCTTTCTTTGTGATAAGAGACTGGTAGTAGAATGAAAAATCTTGCCGTGGCTTTTCTAGTATGTTTATGAAGTTAGTTCAGCACTTTCCTCTTCAGTTGGTGGCTTGAAATTCTCATGGCTTCTCGGTGTCGTTGTGTCAATAGAAAGAATTGATTTTGTGTCATTGCACCATTGTTCTCATTGATCTGGACTTGCTAGTTACGTATTAAAAGCTGGACATATGGAAACTCACACTCAGGCCTTTTCGTCAAGGCTTTCTTAATCTTATTTCAGTTTAAATGTCTACAGTAACTACAAGTACTGTTAATGAAAAATATAATGTAAGACTAAAGTAAGGGTATGAAGAGTTGGACATGTTGAAAAGGTAGCTTGCTGTTGAGTGTTGTTCGTTGTAACTCCTCGTCCTTGTCTTTGCGATATTAGCTGCATAGCTAAATTCTGTCATCATATTCTATATATGGAATGAACATGTTGAGCCACACTGGGAAACAGATGCTTTGCTCATCACTTTACTGTAAATTTGATGAAAAATCTAGTCTAGATTAGCTACAAGAAGAGTAACTCTAACTGTGGGGCATGTTGAAATTGTCAGTTTGCTTGCTGTTGGGTGTTGTCCCTTGTACACGTCTGTACAGCTGGCCTAATGGCCTACCCTGGGTTTTGAAAGGGGATGTCGCTAATGTGACACCCGATATCTGGCAGGGTATTCAGCCCAGCTTTTCTGGGCCCTCACCGTGACCTTCAGGTTTGACCTTCATTGTTCCGCCGTCTCTGTGCCACACAGAAGCGAGGTCGGAGTTGGAACTGTGCCGACTAAGTTTTAAGTTCGACTACTTGTCACAGAATTATAGAATGTAATAAAATACACTCCTCAAGAAAACATACAAAATTTAGCTTTAATAAAATTGTAATTTAGTATAGCTAGTATCAGTATGGATTAGTTCTGTTAGATGTTGTACTTTAGTATACATGTAGTTTATGTATCTACCCTTGTTCAAGTTGTTGTTTCTTCTTTGCCGTATATTGTACCAGGTACAGTTGTTGAGCAACAAATGACTTGATTTCAGGGCCCTCCCTAAGCAATGGAGCAAGGGTGCTCCCCCTCTTCCCAAAATCCTAGAACCTCTCCCAAAATTTCCAAATTCATGGTTTTCTTTTAGTATTTACATGAAAATTTGCTGACTTTTCATCAACCGATTAGGGAGCACCTCTCCCCTCAGAATTTATGGGGGGACCACTGGATTTGATTGTCAGTGTGGTTAAGAAATTACACATAACATCCTTCTTCCCTTAAGGTCCTAAATAACCCATCCTGAGGCATATTTTGACAATATATTTTGTTTATCTGACATGGATGATTTGTAGGTCTATTTTTATGTTCTGTGATAATTTTTTCATCACTGTCACATTTTGGCACCTAAATTAAACTGTAAAGTTGACGATTTTAACCCCTGAGTGGGGTACAGGCATTAGTAAGAAGGGCCTACTCCGCCTCTTTGGGGACCCCAGGTGGTCCCATGGGGGGACAACAAGAGGCAGCTGGGCCAATCAGGTTATCTTGTTTGGATGGTGGGGCATAGCTACAACTTGACAAGTATGGAAGGGAAAATACAATTTTTCTGAATTTGTGTTTGTAATAAATTATACCGGTGTGCAGTTATACAGATATGTGAACAAACATGACAAAGCAAGACCTGTGTAAACTTCATTTTTATTTTCAATGCCACGAACTCTGATCGATCTGACCGACGAACTTACTGTAGATTATTTGCTACTTCTCTGATACAACAAATACTGGCCAATCATAACTTCCGACAAACTTTAAAAAGATCGCACATATTTTGTAACGTTACATACAACCGAGGATAGAATATCGGTGAACTGTGCAGATGTCGGGGCCAAAATATATATAACTTATAAGTCCAAGTTCTGGCAAACGTTATTTACCTAACGTTCACCGATTCACTAAAAATCCCATACCACGTCCGTTCCTGCTTTCCTTTGCGGCTATCTGTCCAGCGGCTTGGCAAATTCTTGTCGATCGTCGAGCCATGTATAGGCTATTTTCCATGCCGATGTCCATGAAGTCTTGAGGGGTCCGGCGTCAAAAACGAGTTGGCAACTCCAGAAAACCCGGGTAGAGTTCCTCCAAAAGGTCTCAAAATAATCCTGAAGACTTCGCCTATGTTTTAGTACGTAAGATATAGCCCTAAAATCCCTTCTTCCAGTCCAGATCTCGCTCGAAACTGAAAAACATCGAGCGCCTCGGAGACGAGAGTCCGCCATTTTGAATCCAAGCTCGGGCGTCATGTGGCGATTTGGCCTGCCGGCGTGCACGCTGTTGGGCTGTTCTATTTACTGGACGTTTCCCCCCTCTATTTTTCCAAATCGCGCCGTGGCGTCATAAAAATTTGCATAAATTATGGCCTTACAATAACGCACCTTCTACCAAAAATTCAAAGCCCATACTCAACTGCAACTTGCATTTCTAAAAGACCCAAAATGTCCTCAGCCATGGTTATTTAGTACCTTAAGCTTGGTGTGGCAGGAAATTTGTCAGACATTTTTGGAAACCGGTTCCCAGACAGGGACATTCCCTGTGAGAGGGGAAGAAGCATGTGTCATGTTCATGATTGATATATATATACTTGAGGTCATGTTTCACCCAATTGCAAGTCATACCTTTACTATTACAGTATTAGTGTATGTACAAAAATCTCTTAGTAGTTTTACCAGCCCAGAAGAGAACAAGAAATAGCCATGCCTTCAAGTACCAGAGTTATCAACCAAGGATTGAGGTGTTCAAGAATTCATTGTTTCCTAGAACCATCGCAGACTGGAACTCGCTGTCACCAAGTACCGTAGGGGCATTGTCAATAGATAGCTTTAAACAATGTCATGTTGGATGTTCAAGGGTTAGGTGTAACAAGTCGATCGGTGTAATATAGCCAGCTGCCGCCGCGCCGCGTGCCTGCGTAGCTGGTGTGTTACGCCAAAGGGCGGTTATACGGACTATACAGATACAGTTACTGTCCAGGGCTTTTAAAGTTTAGTTTACTGACCAGCTAGCGGGCAGTGGGAGGGTGGATAGAAGTGTGGAATTTCTGGATTGAAGTAGAACCTACCAGTTTGTTTACTGTTTATACACAACAAAGGGCTGCTACATATTTATTTCTCAAGTATTTGTATGTGGAGAAAGCTGTAGACCATCTCCAAATACGAAAAGATTTACGTAACATAAGACATGTATGTTACAGTATGTACATGTATAATGTGTGCGATTATTACACAATTATTAGACAGTCCAGGTAACAATATAATGTTAGAGCAAGGCGAGGCAGTGCTGTTTTCGACCCGTTAATTTTGTGAATTTGTGAACAACACCAAACTATGTGTGTGATCTTACATGTATGAATGTGTTTCTCCTTTTTCTCACTCTTCTGTAACGTGTCAGTGAGTGAGTTTTTGAAAGTCTGAAACTTATGATTTTTTGTTTTCCAGCATTTATCCCACTTCTTTTCTCTCTCTTTCCCCCCCTCTCTCTCTCTCTCTCTCTCTCTCTACAGTTTAAAGTAATTTTCGTCCCAACGTGCTTACATCACTGTGTAAGTCTTTTTCAAAGCAAGATTTTTTAACAGCTGGATGCCCTTTCTAACACCAACCCAAACCCGAATGTGTGGGATCTGTAATGTTTGAAGGAGTTTGTAAATTTTCTGGTCAGTTTTATGAATGACCTTGAAGTTCCTTTACAGTATGCAAAAATGACCTTGACAATTGCAAAGTGACCTTGACTAAAATGACCGTGACATCCTTGTTTCAGCATGAGTTCAATCTCCACAGACGAGTGTTTTCTTTACAAATGACCTTGATGTTGCTTGAGTAAAATGACCTTGACTAAAATGACCTTGACCCCGTTGTTCCCTGGAAGCATGATTTTTATCTCCACAGATGAGTTTTCTTTACGAATGACCTTGATCATGGTGCTTTACTAAAATGACCTTGAACTTGACTAAAACGACCTTGACTTGACTTTCTTGTCCTTCAGCATGAGTTCAATCTCCTCCACTGTCTTCTTTATGATTGACCTTGATGTAGCCTCACAGATACTAAAATGACCTTGAACTTGACCATAATGACCTTGACCCGTTGTTCCGCAGCATGAGTTCGATCTCCTCCACGGACGAGTCGTTCCACTGGCGCCCGCCGCAGCAGCACGCGCCCGAGGACGACGAGAGCGACGCAGACTCCAAGATGTCCGGCTCTCAGCTGGTCGACTCATGTCTTAAAGTCCTGCAGGTAGGTTAAGACATCTTTCTTAGTTAAGGTCCTGCAGGTAAGTTACATGTAAGACATCTTCCTTCAATATCAGAACACCTTTGTAGTTTGTAAGCAAGGTGTTGGGCTCTCAGCTGGTCGACTCCTGTCTTAAAGTCCTCCAGGTAAGATAAGAGACTTACTTAAGGTCCTGCAGGTAAGTTAAGACGTATTCGTTGTGGGGTCGTGTGGTGTAATGACAGAGCGTCCTGAGTTCGAATCCTGCCCTGCTACCGGTTTGTGCCCTTGGGAAAATTTCCAATCTTAACTCAGATTAAAAATGAGTATGTCTGTATGCCAAAAAGCAGTTACTCAAGCAACTGGATATGATTTTGAAAAATCATATCCAGTTGCTTGAGTAACTGCTTTTTGGCGTATCGTATTACCTGGATGTCTAACCTTCATCGAAGTATGTCTGTATGTTTGTCTGTGTTGGTGGCGGCATAAAAATAGGTTGAAAAAAACTCGAGTGTGCCGTCGCCATGCTTGTGATAAATGTTGGAATAGAAAAAAAAGGAGATAGAAAAATGTGTGTACATGATGGATAATTGACAGAATGATTGACAGCTGTCTATGTCCCGTAGGAGCGCGGTGTGATGGACACACATGATGACCCCATGGAGGGGATGAAGGACGCCATGCCTCACCCCGACCGGTACGCGCCGGAGCGGAGCTACAACGGCGGGGGGAACGGGGAGGCGCCGGTTCACACGTCACACCAGTCGCTACACAGCGTGAACAGCGCCCACTCGAACCCCCACCCTGGCGGGGTCACGACATCGCAGCCAGAGTCTGTCACCGTCACTAAGGTCATCCACACCCGCACAGTCACTGAGGTTTGTGTCTTTCTTTTACTTTTACCTGTCCATCTTTGTCTGTACACCAAATGACTTGTTACAACCTTTGCACATCTAACTGTGTGTGCTAGTGATAATGCCCCTACTGTACTTGGTCCCACTGAACAATAGTTCTGGCGAAAAATGAGTTTTTGAACACCTCAATTTGTGGTTGATAGCCTGTGTGCCATCCTATTTGTATGCCGGGGCTCCCATACTCGCTTCCTAAGAAATACACATGTACATGGGCTAGCTCAGTATGTAACATCATCACCAAACCAAAATGATCAAACCGTTTCCAGACTATTTCTTAGCAAATATGGGATACACCGCCTGGCATACAAATTGGATGGCACCCAGGCTACAATCTGTATCTGTATCTGTATAGCCGGTATAACCGCCTTTCGGCGTAACACACCAGCTTCGCAGGCACGCGGCGCGGCAGCAGCTGGCTACATTACACCGATCGACTTGTTACACCTAACCCTTGAACTTCTAGCTCTCTAGACATTGTTTAAAGCTATCTATTGACAATGCCCCTACTGTACTTGGTGACAGTGAGTTCCACTCTGCGATAGTTCTAGGAAAGAATGAACTGTATCTGTATCAATCATGGTTGATACTGCAACCCTGGTATACAGTATGATGCCATGCCTATGTCTTTGTTCTTTCTGAGCTGGTATTAGATGCTTACTAGTTGGTACCAGTTTATAATATTAGTCAATTTGTCCACCCTGCAGGTGACGCCAAGGCACCACCCTACAGATAATTACTACGATCCGTACCGCGGTGACAACACGTCTAACCGGGGAACCCCACGGCACATGGACCCCCCGCCGCCACAGAGCAACTACAGGTAGAACTTCTGTTTCCTTTTGGACTTCCAAAAAATTGTCTTCACTTATTTGGATATCAATCAATGATGTAATTCACTTTATGCTCACGGTAGCTTCACGGTCTGAGAAAAGTGGACATGTTCACGGAACTATATATTCACGGTGGTGACAGGTGCAGGAACAAGAAAGTACAGGAATTATTTGTTAACTGTAATGATAAGTTCACGGAAAAAAAAGGAACAGTGAGAACTGTGAACAGTGAAAAAATCAGGAATTACGGTAGTTCGTGCTTACAAACCTGCATTTCTCATATCCAGTTGCTTGAGTAACTGTTTTTTGGGCATACAGCGACCCATACGAGGGAAGAAATCCGTACGAAGCTCCGGAGACCCTCCCCGATGAGGACCCAGGTCCAGCGGTGTACCGAAACCCGTCCACGGACACGAGCGACTACTACCACAACCCGACGCCGCCGCGCGAACCTGAACCAAACTACTCACGACAGGACTACCATAACCCCTACACACCCAGCAGGTTGGGTCTGCTTTATTCAGGTCTCCATTAGTGAATACATCCACTAATCTTCCTGGAGTCCATTTAAAACAATGTAATACAGAACAAAATAATATATAATGGAAATCAAAAACACTTTATACTGTGGGTAGCTACATGTAGGTAATGAAACAAGTTGGAATTTGGTAGTTGTAGAGTTCAAACTTTGTTCCAACACAAAACAAGGCTCTGAACAATGATGGTGGTAGATTCCGTCTTCCCGCCACTTTTGATGCGCTCCTGACGTCATCACACTTCCGACTTCCGTTCTGAGTAAACGAGTGTATTCATCTGACGAAGGTTGACGAGATAGACCATAGATTTATGGTGAGTTTATTATTTTGTGTTGGAACAAAGCTTGAACTCTACAACTATGGATTCTACCAACACAGATGAGCTTTCATTCGAAGATGTAATTTTCTTACAGGGAGTACTCCAACTACAATGGGCAGCCTCCGACAGACAACTACGCTCCCGTGTCGTACATGGAAGACCCGGGAACTCCGGTCATGCGGGCGCCGCTGGCCGAACCAGAAACGCCGGGCAGCATGGGCTCTCTCCGGGCGCACACGCCTTCGCTGGACAGCACGCACCGGGCCGACCCCATGGCCTGGCGCGACCCGGATCTCCCCGAGCTGATTGAAATGCTTCGGGAGCCACACCCTCCCGTACAGGCCAACGCTGCAGCGTATCTACAGCATCTCTGCTACGGGGACGACCCTGTTAAAGCTAAGATCAGGTCTGTGTACTGTTCGAGAAAAAAATACTTTATATGCATCTGAGTATTGAGGTTTTTAGTACTTTTTACCCATTCTTATTCATTCAATATAATTGAAAAGACTCATATCATGAATGTAAATGCTACCATTGTCTTTTAGAAAGTACAAATGCACCAAGTATTGTAACTTAAGTAATGAAATCCACAGTTTAGCAAAAAAAGCTGCAAGTGATTTTAACCTGAAAAAAGTTTTTAAAAACCTAGAAAGGCCGACATTTGCTTTGGAGCAAATACAGCATATTTCTTTCCATCTCCATCCCAGGCAGAAGTGGACCATTCTAAACTAACTCATTCTCAAATGGAACTTTCTCAAATAAAAAATTATTATATAGCAATTTATGTAATTGAAGACAAAGATGCAAGAACAAGCACTTTGAATCTTGACAGCTTTGCTTACAAAATTTTATGTTACTCGTTCCTGCCTCAGGTCCCTGGGCGGTATTCCTGAGCTGGTTCAGCTGCTGGACCACCCGAGTCCGGACGTGCACCGGAACGCGGCCGGCGCGCTGCGGAACCTCGCGTACGGGAAGGCCAACGATGAGAACAAGAGCGCCATCAACAACGCCAACGGGATCCCCGCCCTCGTACGGCTGCTCAGGAAAACACCCGACACTGAGGTTTGTTGGTTTATTTAAAATCTCCGTTAGAGATACAAAATTGTATACTAATCTTCCTGGGGTCCTAGTTTACAATACAATACATATTAGTATCAATTACAATATCATAGTAAATTACTATGCCTTACATTACTGTTGCATTACAATTTAAATAAAACTTGGCCATTATTGTATATCTGTATACATTAAATTGTAATGTACATGACGAATACAGTAATAAATATTATGGAAGATCATTTGCATTGGAGAGGTACATTCTTGTATCGGTCTACGGCACGATATTATCATAATGATCTTTTAATGTGCTTGCCATTGCCATGAGGTCTGCTTTATGTCCTATGTAAGAGGACATTACTAACCACAGCTACTTAATTTTTGAGTCATTTTGATTGTGTGAACAAAATGTGTTAAGTGCCTTAAAAATCCCAAGGGCACATCATTGGGGCCTGCTGAGGATTCAAACCCAGAATATTCAGATTCTGAGTCAACAACCCTAACCACATGCCACCTTGCCTCTTTCCTCAGGTACAGGAACTAGTGACGGGTGTCCTGTGGAACCTATCCTCCCATCCGCCGCTGAAACAGGCTGTTATTGACGACGCCCTCGCCGTGCTCACAAACCGCATCATCATCCCGCACTCCGGCTGGGAGGCCAGCCCAGACGCTGACAGCAAACCTAGAGACATACAGGTAACAACTTTGTTAGCTGTACTTTGGCTCTGAATGGTGCTGTGTACCTTTTCCCTGAATCTTGTTCCGTACTTACAAAAAAATCATGTCACATTCCCCTTTTTGTTCTCAATCATGGTTTATTTGGAATAAAAGACCTGTCTTGCAGTAGTCACTGAATTGCACCGAAATTTCCATTAAAACACTTTTATAAAAGAAATGTCAGACAGGATTAAAATATGTACAAGTTGGAATTAAAATACGCTGACAATTGCAGTGTTTCAACTTTTCACTGTACGATCTTTAATGATACTGAGGATCTAAACAAACCATTCATTCCTTCCTCCCTGCAGTGGTCAGTGGTGTTCCGTAACGCGACGGGTTGCCTGCGGAATGTGAGCTCGGCGGGGCCGGACGCGCGGCGGAAGATGCGGGAGTGTGACGGGCTAGTGGACGCTCTGCTCCACGTGCTGCAGACCGCCATCGGCAAGAACGACATGGACAACAAGTCCGTGGAGAACTGCATGTGCGTGCTGAGGAACCTCTCCTTCCGGCTGCCGAAAGAAGTGCCAAGCGCACAGAGGTACATGAACAGCTTTTTTAACGTTATCTTAAAAGCAGAGCTCGAAATTCATTTTTAGGAATAGGTGCACCCGTGCACCCAGCCTACAAAATTGGGTGCACAAAAAATTTTTTGGGTGCACCATATGAGAAAAAATGAATAGAATGTCAGCAAAAACTAATCATGTTTCATTTCTAAAGAAAAGTACTATAGCAATGATTGTTCATAGATGTTCAGAATGTGCTGTATACTACTAAAAAAAAGTATACATTTAACATCTTTACATACCTAAACCTATACATACCTACAAAAACTGGTGCACCCATAGAAAAAAATGGGTGCCCAGCTCCAAATTTGGGTGCACTAAGATGCACCCAGTATTCCAGCCCTGCCATGTGAATATGTCTCTTACTGAATTGTTGTCATTCCACAGCACAATTCGGCCATTCTGGCTGCTATGTTTGCAATAGTGTTGAAATAAACCAATCATTCATACAGGTACGAGCTAGCAGAGCCGCCCAAGTCGTCGCAGCCCCCGCCCAAGAAGAAGCCGACGAGCTGCTTCGGTTCGGGGAAGAAAAAGTCAGAAGACAGCGGGATAAAACAGTGGGATGGAACGGGACCCATCCCGCAACGCGCGGAGCCTGCAAGGGGACAGGAGCTGCTGTGGCAACCAGAGGTACAGGGACTTGTTCCAACACATAAAGGGAACCCACCATGAATTTTTAGTCGATCTTGTCAACCTTCGTCAGATGTGTGATGCACTTGCTGACTCTTCGGATAGGAAGTCTGAAAAGTGATGACGTCAGGAGTGCATCAAAAGTGGCGATTACTTATCTATCAATCTTGGATATATATATACATGTATATAGGCAGGGGTAGGCAAAAATAAGTTTGGTTGGATGAAAGGTTCAGAGAACGTATAGGCTTTACACTACGTGAAACAATAAGAAGAACAGCAAACCGAGAAGATGGAGAAAACTGATTGTCAGATCTTCTGCAAGTGCCTCAATGAGATGGATGTAAATTTTTATTCAGGGTAAATTTTACCACACTGATCTGTAACTTCAAGATACAATTATGACAGAATTATTTCAATTTTAACATTTTCTTTGAAGGTGGTGAGGCTGTATGTGTCCCTTCTACCGGAGGGTCCAAAAGACTATAGTTATGACAGAATTTTTTCAATCCATATCTGTCGCTAATGCCATTGTATTTAAGGAAAACTTCAGTTATGACAGAATTAATTTCTTTTTTAACATTTTCATTTGTTCAAAGGTGGTACGTCCGTATCTGTCCCTACTGCTGGAGTGTTCAAACCACGACACACTGGAAGCCGCGGCGGGCGCTCTACAGAATCTCTCGGCGGGGAATAACAAATGGGCAGCGTACGTCCGGGCCATGGTGCGGAAAGACAAGGGGCTGCCGGTGCTCGTCGAGCTGATCCGCATGGACAATGATCGGGTTTGTTTGTTTGTTTATTTAACAACTGGGTTTGTTTGTTTAACCCTCAAACCACCGAATGGGGTCAAAACTGATGTATACATGTATAAATACGAAGAGTAAAATACACCTTTGGCATCAGGGTTGGACAAGTGTTCATTGCCACTTGCCCGAACCAACTTTTAACTTACCCGAAATATACATATTTCTTTGCATTTTACTTCCACCAAGGAAATAAGATTATTATATTTTGAAGTTTATAATGTTGGATGCTTTTATTGAAATAAGGTGGTTTGACTTGCCCCCAACACTGTAGCTGCTATACTTTGCATCCCAAAAATTTACTTGCCCAATCGGGCAAGTATAGGGGCACATGCACTTGCCCGAACAGTACTTTTACTTGCCCTGGGCAAGTGGGCAATTGAAGTACTCAAACTCTGGGCATCAATTAATAACAACATTACATTATACAAGTTAACCAAAAATTTCATGTCCTAGGTTGTGCGTGCCGTGGCGACCGCCCTGCGAAACCTCTCGCTGGACAACCGGAACAAGGAACTGATTGGGAAGTACGCCATGCGGGACCTGGTGTACCGACTTCCCGGTGGCGACAGCGCACCGAAAACGTCCGAGCCAACCATGGTGGCGATCCTACACACGCTGCATGAGGTGCGTATGTCACTGGCGTTAAGAAAACACGGAGACAGAGATAACGTGTCCTGTTGTTTCTTTAATCTTTTCAAGTCCCTCAATTCCGTAACGTTACCTTTCTAGAACCCCTTCCTTCGAACAGGTGTCGTTGCTCAACACCGCGTGCGCACGTGGTGATCGAACAGGCACCCCCGCTCGAAGGAAGGGTCTAACTATAGCTATTACAATGTAAGTGCTCAATGTATAAGGTAAAATGCAAGTCACTTCGTGACACGTAGTCCAGTGGTTATCGATCCTGCCTCTGGACTAAGAGGTTGGGAGTTCGAATCCCGGCTGTTGTTGCTCACCTGACATGCACGCTATTGTTTAGGGTCGCAGTCCTTAGGATGGGACGTTAAGCCGTGGTCCACTGGTCATTGTGCTTGTCGAAAAGAGCTAGGGGAATTTCCCCAGTACAATGAACCTGTAAATACTGTGCATAGCATCTGTCTTCTTTGTCACAGGGAGCTAAAACTGGTTTGAGATCACTTTTTCACTTTCACTCTTTCACTTTCACTCTTTCACTTTCACTCTTTCACTTTCACTCTTTCACTTTCACTTTTTCACTTTCACTTTTTTCAATTTCACTTTTTCAATTTCACTTTTTCAATTTCACTTTTTCAATTTCACTTTTTCAATTTCACTTTTTCAATTTCACTTTTTCAATTTCACTTTTTCAATTTCACTTTTTCAATTTCACTTTTTCAATTTTCAGGTCATCTCCAAGAACATGGAGAACGCGAAGTCTCTGCGAGACGCGGGCGGGATCGAGAGGCTCGTCACCATCAACAAGAACCGGGACAAGTACTCACCCGAGGTCGTCCGGGCGGCAAGACAGGTCCTGGCCACGCTCTGGTCCTTCAAGGACCTGCGGCCCGTCTTCAAGAAGGACGGGTGGAACGCCTCGCACTTCCCGCCGGCCAGAGTCGCGGCGCGCCCGCCTGGGTCCACCATGGCCCGCGGCGCCTCGCCCGGGGCGGGGCTGGAGTACGACGACACCACCCTGCCCGCGGCCGGGCCCCAGGCCAACTCCAACGCCTACTCCACCCTGCCGGACGACAAGGCCGCAGGCAGGAGGCAGCTCGACTTCTCCCAGGACAACGGCACCAGAAACACAGGTCAGTCCCTTAGCAACCACGGGTCATTTCCATAGCAACCATCGGTCAGTCCCATAGCAACCATGGGTCAGTCCCATAGCAACCATGGGCAGTCCCATAGCAACCACACATGGGTCAGACCCATAGCAACCACACACGGGTCAGACCCATAGCAACCATGGGTCAGTCCCATAGCAACCATGGGTCAGTCCCATAGCAACCATGGGTCAGTCCCATAGCAACCATGGGTCAGTCCCATAGCAACCACACATGGGGCAGTCCCATACTACAATGTAAGTAGATAGGGTCCACATATCAACATTAGCCAGTACCTAATATATAAGTTTAGCATAGTGGCAACTATGACCTGAAGTTCTGTCCCACACTAGTGACACAGGTCAATACCATGGGTTAGTACACAACCTTAGTCGAGTAGTACAAAGAACTTGATAAAAATGTGAAATTCTAAAATGATACTGGTGTGTCACCATGTTCAGTTTAGGAAAGCCATTTGATTTTTACACCTGGTCCATTAGAACAACCCCATGTACATGTAACTTGTCACATGTGGGGAATGTAATTGACAGTGATGTACACTTACAGCCTGTTACTGCTCTGTGTCATTCTCTGTCCATTAAATCTAATTGTAGTCAACTAGTCACCCAGGAATTCTGAAATGTTGCTGGTTTAAAGAAAGACAGATACATCTTTCTTGTATGACTGAAGCCTGGGTAGTTTCAGAGTGTGTAAATTTTGACTAGAGTTGATACTAGACAGCTGACAGCCACTTTACGAGGGAGGTTATACAGTCCCTGTTGTACTCATGTTTTAATATGAGGTGTCATGTAGAACACTTAAGGTTCAAAAAGCTGCAAATGGAGTTACAAAATAACATTTTAGTGTTAATGGAATTTTAGGATGGTAAACTTCAAACAGCTATATATGCTATGTCCTTTTAATGGTCTGTCTAATTTGCGTCTGTCAAGTCAAACTGCGCTGTGTCAGAAATTCTGAATTGCCTCTGGTTAAGTCCATGGTATAGTGCATGGAGGCGAGCTGGTATGAGCCAGCAAACTGAAGTGATAACCACTTTATGTTTTTGTATAAAAAGATGAAGGAAAAATCTATTAAGGTCACTTTCTTTTTTTTTCTTATATTTTTTCTAATGTTTTGTTGTTCTTGACAGGAGCAGATAAAAGCCGTGGAGGTGAAGAGATCCCAATGACAGACCTGACACCTGGTAGGTACAAACTCCTTTCTTTTAAACTCCATAAAGCCAATGTAAGCTGCTTGACTAGAATTCAGTTTTAGGAAGAAGTGCACCAGAAAAAAATTTTAGAGGACAGTAGAATATCAGCAAAACCTTGCTGCCTTTCTCCAGAGCTTGAATGTGAAATTTTATAGCTAACTTAGTAAAGTGGTAGATTACATGTATTCCAGGTTTTAGATTGGAATATGTAAACCCTCATAAAAACAATGTACCACTTGAAGGAACTTTGGCTACTTGTATACCTTACAGATGGTTGGTCAAACTTGTTTATGTACAGGTACAGATCTGGACCTGTGACTTGACTTGACTTGACTTATGTCGAGTCCTGGTGTCCCTGGCCTCGAGACAAACCTGGACCTGTACCTAAACCCATGTACCTAAAACTGTTCCTATAACTTGTTTAAAGTTAAAACTTTTGGTCCAACACAAAAAGTTCTCTCCCCTAGAGCTTTCGACCAGTCACTCTGGTCTTCCTCAGTAGACTGACCCAGTGAAGCTTGTCACATGGCTTCTTTTGAAGTGTGACGTCAACACTGGGTCAAAGGTATCATGTAACTACCAACACAGATGATCTTTCATGATGTTCCTACAACTAGTTTTAGCAGTAGGTACACAGCTACAAATGTATAACCGAGTTTTGTTTTTGCAGGCTATGCTACTGTGGAGAGAGATACAAGGCCGGAACAGAACTTCCAGCCACCGGTGGGAGGAGTGCCGGTATTTGGAACACCCAACCAGCAGAATCCAGAACCTCTGTATGCAAAGGTAGGGTCATAGGTCGTGACATTTGGTAGTGTGTGTTAAAGGTCAGGTCACAATGTGTGGCATTTTGAAATGTAGCTTTTTCCAAGGGTACATGCAATTTCTTCATTTGTAGCATTTAGAAATGTAGCTTTTAATAGCTTTTAATTGTAAATTCCAAAGGTACATGTTATTCCTTGGAGTGTAGCAAACAGGAACATAACTTTTAGTGTTACATTTTAAACTTGAGGTTATAAGGTGACACATTTGAAGTGTAGCAGCTTGTAATGTAACATTTAGTCGCACATGTTGCAAGTAAAGGCAGTTGTGACATCCACTGACGAGTTTGTTCTCGTTAGCAGGTTAATAAAGACAAGAGCCGGGCTCAAGACTACGGTTACGTGGACGACCCTGACCCAAGGACGTTCCAGCTGGAGGATCCCGACCCACAGAAACCCACGGACTCCTGGGTCTGAATCAACCCACGCGGGGAAAAAACCCCGACCCACGTGGGAAACCTACTCTCCAAACAGAGGTTTGGGGTCATTTTTGGTGTGTTTTTAGACTTCTTTATCGGGGTTTCCTTCTTGCACTGGAATTTTTCTTTCACCCAACCCAACCTCTGCCGGCAGTCAAAAGCATCCAGTCAGAAAGGCATTCATTTGGCCACTGATGACTGTGCCTATTCATGCGTCCGGTTCACACCTACTTGTAGAACGACCGTAAATGTGTTGAAGTGGTCATGATTAGGTTTATAGCGCGTTGATGCTTTCGACTGCCGGCAGAGGTTGGGTGAAAGATAAATTCCAGTACGAAATAGAAATCCCAATAAAAAAGCCTAAAAACACGCCAAAAAAAATCCCAAAACCCAAACCTCTGCTTGGAGAACACACGCGGGTGGGTAAGAACCCACGAAACCCCGGGTGTAAACAGTAATGTGTACAGCTTCGCTTCAAATCAAGGAGAATATTTTTGATACGTCATCCATGATCCGGGGAATGTTTGTTTGTGTGTAGGAATCTCACCTATGATCAAGTCTGTACTGAACACTGAGAGCACATAATAGTAGTCATAAGTCGCTATTTCTTCTCCCGTTTTTTTATTGAAGATGGTATGATTGTTTGGAGGGGAAAATCGCTGCCTGTACATGTACATGAATTGTGCCACATTCCTGAAAATTTTGTCTACATTCCATCTGTTCTGTCCGTTGGACTGTTGGTTGTGTGCGTGTTTGCGTGTGTGTCCGACGTTTCTCGCTGCATTGCCGTGACAACGATTGTTGATGATGTTTTAGACAGAAGGATGGAACGAAGGATGCACACAGCACAGTCAGAGGCAAAGAAGCTCAAGTATAGATGGCTTAGGAGTCGGTATAGGATGGACTGAATGTGTGAAGGAATTTTGGATGGAAAAAAATAGCCAAGAAAAAGTAATGAGCAAGACTAGGGAAAGGAAAGGGATCTAGTGTTGATGTGAAGGGCATGAGAAGTTGGTTTCAGAACGACAGAATGTGAGAGTCCGTGGAAAGATGAGTTAAAGAGATGTGCTGTAGGTAAATGTGTTGAGGAGAGCTTTTTTGCGTTTTTTTATTAGTGTTGCATTTCTGTAAACTTCTGTAAGAGAATTGTTTAGAATCAAGACAGTGTATCAGACAACTGTAGACTATGATATAAGCTGTGAAAGATTGTATATATTGTTTCTTGTTCCTGCCTACTTCTCTCTCCAAATAAGGGCATTCTGGGGGGGGGGGCAAATTGATTTCTTTTTTCCTGCATGTAGAAGGGTGAATTTGTCCTGCCAAGTGCCATGTTTTTGGCGGTGCCTCGCGGGGCGGTGCCGTTTACCTTCACCCTGCTTGATAGAGTGTACATACGACCCCCCAAGTTGCACAAATCAGTTTTGTTTTGTTTCCCCGTTTAAGATGAATGTTTTACTAGAATTGTTTGCATTTTTTGTGAGAAGGATACGTGATGAATAATACTGCTTGCACCTCTTGTAAATGTACACGTAATTCTTTGCAGCCAGAATATATTTGGTAGGTATTCCAATGCTGCACAAACTTACACCTACAAGTATAAATTCAATGAAAAAAGCAGATTTTGGAAATTTCAATGTCCATATCTCAGCAAAAAATTAAGCTCTCAGTAAGAATATCATCTTCTCTTTTAAAGTGTATGATTGAAAAAGTAAAATTTATGAGTGAAATGCTGTCAGAAATTTTGGTTGGAATACCTACTTTAAAGAAGGCAGTTCAGCTTGCTGCATCTACAAGTGTGTGTGTAGGTCTCATACCAACATTATGCTTTGTACCGTGTGAGACGTTTTGTACTTGATTTTTCCTTGTTACGTATACATGATTTGTGTATTTAGACTTGTGTACTTAATTAATTGAGACTAGTAGATTTGATGTAGACATGTTATTTGTAACGTTTTGTCAATTGTATTACTACAACGACTTACTCGCATTGTTGCTGATTGTGTTTTTTTCCCCGCTGCCAACTTTGTGGCTGAACTACAATTTTATATGGCAAAAGTAGTCTTGACAACAAACAGCTGCAGTGTGAATGCAAGCTGCTAGGGGGCGTAAGAAAGCCGCTGTAGCTGTTATGTGGTCTGCACTACAGTGGAAGTGCCTTATGTACATCAGGGGGTGTCTAGGAAAAAAATTTCTTGCACACAACCTAGCCGATATTTGGGTGACCGTCTGTCACCTTCCTCAGATAATATTGGCATGGCCTCCTACCAGTCTAAAAAAAGAGTGGATCAGGATTGAGAATTGACAGACAGAAACTGGTGGCCGGTGCTGTGTGTGTGTAAATTTGTGTGCCGGTCGACTGAAGACCTACTGTAGACCATACTGCCGTGCTGATAACCTAAAATCGATGTTTTAGCCATACACATGACAGTTGTGCCATCTGTGATCTCAAACTCCATTCCTAACAGTTGTTAACATGATGTTTACAACAGCCAGTTTGCAAAAAAATGCTTTTAAGTGGATTTTACCCGCAAAATGCTGTCTTCATAGGGTCATTTGTTCCAGGGCTTTTGTGTCGTGCAAAATGCTTGGCTTTTCTATCTCAGCGTATTCAATTCTAGACAACTTCAGGCTAAAATTATTCCCATTGTAGACAAGCTACAACAAACACAAAGCACAGCAACTTTTATAAGGTTAACTACAAACCACAAAATACATGCAATTCTTCTGTGAAAAATGGCTTGTTCCATGTAAATGAATTGTGACTAGATTGCCATATGTTTTTGCTTTGGGCCTATGAGTATACTTGTTGCTTGCCCCTCCCTACTGCATAGACTGTATGAACGTTTCATTGGACATAGGCCATCAGGCAATGGCCTAGCCACTGAACATCATTGACAGATACTTTCGGGCTAGCCTCCTTAGCATACTATACGAGTCAGGCCTTTTGTAGGCTTATAATGTCTTTTTCTGATGGCATATCAGTTCTCAGTATGCAATTTCTTGCGGGCTGCCTCTATATAGATGGCAATTGACAAGAAACTTGCAAATTACCATCTATACTGGTGTGTCATTTGAGAAAAATGCCCAACTTGTAGATCATGCTAAGGAGACATCCCCAACTTTTGAGTGCTCACTGAAAGATAGTTGAAAGATCTGTGAAGTTTTTGAATGCGCAACAGTCTATTCCTTGGTGGAATCACCACTTAAAACACAGTCGTTCATAATATAGTGCAGCCTGATGTGTGTTTTGTAATTATCCAGTTTTAGTCTGATCCGTTGCCTTCGCTTGTGTAAGATTTGCACTCGTACTACATTGTATAAGACTTCACACAAACTTCTGTGAACAAAACTGTTTCTGCTAGGAAGTTTGTGGACTGATATATTTTCTCGCACCTCTGCTTACAGAACTTCTTTAATAAAGTCAATAGAATCAACTTCATGTGTGTGTTTTTACTGATTACTTTGAAACAGTAGCCACAGTTGCCAAAACTGTTATATATAGACACTTTTTGCATTTAGAGATACACACTTTATAACAGTAGTACGATGTACAACAATCACTGGAATGAGCATATACATGTATGTATCAGCAAAAACTTAAATCTTTTGTGTACAAAATGTAATATATTCTGTATTGTATTAAGCATTCAGCAGGCAGAAGATATCTGCAGATCTGAATTAATTTGCACATTGTCATCTCTGGTATTAAGTACCTTATCTCTCTAATTAAAATAATATAACAACACTTAAGAATCATAGATTGGTACTGTATGTCTACCCAGACATTTGATTGCAGGTATTTCAATCCAAAATAGCTTATCTAAAAGTGTAAGGCATTCAACTAAGTTTTTAAGACAGAAGGAGAATTATTTTCATCACTGAACAGTTTTTGTCCAACTCTGCTCAACACAAACTCTGGTATGAGATCCTTGTGGCATATGAGCCAGTATGATTGTTTAAGTCCAGCTGCAGTACCCGCAAAGTCTGCTAGAGGGATCTGCTGGACATGTGGCGCCCTGTGTCGTGCTGGTTGTTGTTGTTGTTGTTGACAGGTAAATAGACGTACACGCCCAGGCCGATCGCGATGACCAGCAGCGTAATGTAGATTCCCAATGTCAGACCTGGACAAAAAAACACAGATATCAATTGATCGATCAATCAATTATCCACAGGTATCGTATGTATTATTACTAGTAGTTACCTATGATAAAAATAGTCGCACTGAGGACTTATACGGTATAGCAACACTGCATTGTGTGAACGTACAAATGTATATTGGAAAATTGCAGAAACATACAAACACGTAACACATGCACACACACAGACACACAATACTCAGAATACGGTACATGTACTTACTAACTCAACTCATTTTAATTTTTTAAAACATTTTAGAAATGAATACACATGTAAACCTTTGAATTTGAAAAACTACAACAATGCCTGAGGTAACAAAGGTCAAAGGGATGGAGTTTTTAACCTTCTCCCTGCTGCCTAACCCCATAACTAATCCAAATCATGTGTGCCAAACTAATTAGCAGGCCGAAGGTTAATATTAATATAGTAGGTTAAACTGACCCAAGTTCTGCTCCTTGAGCACCGTGGCAGGAACCTCCTCCCGTGACACGCCTGCTGACCCCTGCTGCGTCTCCATGGCAACGGCCCCGTATAGCAGGAAGGTCAGGGTCAAGGTCAGAGTCAAACACACGACGTTTTGAACGTTTTGACGGTCAAAACTTGAGTTAGACATGGTGATATCCTCCTAGAATTTAAGGAAGTCTTGATAATAATCAATTTGGCACTGAGTGTGAATACGAAAAAGGTCCAGTTCCTTCTTCGGTTCAAAGCTTGGATGACCGCTGTTCCTTGCCCAGTACTAGTACTAGTAGCAATGCCAAGACAAAGGCAATGTCTAAGAATTCTCCATCTTGAAGAAAATATCCGACTTGAAGACCATGTCTCTTGGTTGATACGGTTCACTTCCGGGTTAGCACGCCTTTTACAATTCCCAGGATGCGTAGCGCCAGCGAAATTTTGCGGCAGTGTGATTTTACGACGGTTTCTATGGAAGCGCGCGAAATCCGCCAGTTATCCTACTCTCCAAGCAGAGGTTTGGGTTTTGGGGGTATTTTTAGCGTGTTTTTAGGCTTTTTTTTTATCGGGGTTTCTCTTTTGCACTGAATTTTTTTTCCCTTTCTTTTGCAAAAAAAAATTCAGTGCAAAAGAGAAACCCCGATAAAAAAGCCTAAAAACACGCTAAAAATACCCCCAAAACCCAAACCTCTGCTTGGAGAGTACAGTTATCCCACTCCCACGAAAGCACCTTGTGCCTTGGGGGTAAAATGAACTCATTTGCATAGCGCAGAAAGGTACTGATATTCTGTTGACGGTATAAAACAGGTTGTTTTTCTGTGTTTTGAGGTGTTGGGGCTGAATCTGACCAAGGAAGTTTTGAACCTCCTTGATCTGACCACAAACAGAGAATGAAATACAAGTTGTGTTCTTTAAACACGGAACATGTGGTTTGTAACGTTATGGTAGTAACGCTATACTGTCAATAGAACTATGCCCCCGTTAGAAAAATAGCGGGTACTACCGCCCGCCTACTATAGCCTGGTTCCAGTCTGATTCGTGGTTGGGGCCGCAAAAGCTATGTCCTTCCCGGTGTGTATTTCACGAGAGATTGATTAGCCCTCCACGTGTTGGGGGAAACCAAATCCCCAAGCATACTGTCTCTTATTTAATAGCGTAACACTCCTACCGGGACGGCCTGTTGCACTGGGCGGGGGAAGCTATTAGAGCCCCCGAAGGCACAGTCTGGCTGAACACCCCAACACCCGATTGGGGCCCAATCACGTAAGACTGGATACCAGGCTAAAGTCGGCTGGTGCTCTGCAGTTAGTAATAATCCTTAGTAATGAACCCCTAAATTACTTTTCAAGATTCCAAACGTTGTGTATTGTATAAACGACAACTTGCTAAACAAGCTTACAAGGCAGGATTGAGCTTGCGGAATTATTTCCTCAAATGACGTATGTGAGTATTTCCGCAGGGTTAGGTAATCTCCAGGCACATCTGGTGGGGCAAGGGGAGTTTGTTGGCCAGCGGCCTGTATCCATGATAGATTGGCCGCCCCAAGTCAGGATTCCGGACATCGCTTCATGTCAGACAAGGAACAAGGAACAAGGAAGTGCTGCGCCAGTCTTGTGAGCAGGCCGCCGACAGACGGGTGCTTCATGCTCTACAAGCAGAGATTTAGGCTTCGGCTTAGTTTTGAGCCGTTTTTTCTCCTTTTTTGTGTACCCCTTTTGACCAGCCAAACGGTGGCGTATTGGACACTGTCCTGCTACTTTCCACTCCTTATTCGTGAGCCGTAGAGAGACGAGTGATTCAGACGGCCGACCCTAAGCACCATCCCTCCCCACCGCCTCCAGCTCTTCTCACAGACTTCATCTTCCTGTGAAGGTGGGTTTTAAACTTTCTTTTCACTCGTGTACTTAAAATGATTGTGGATCGGAGACATAGACACCGGAGCCTTTACCAAAAGGTAGTACAGTTTCACTCTGTAATCACTCTGCATCTGAAAAGAGGCTTTTACTGAAGGTATTTCCTCCAAATAGCTGGACTTTTAAAAAAGTCCAGCTATTTGGAGGAAATACCTTCAGTTGTCAGAAACAGTTGTGGCGTTATAGAATAAAAGCGGGAGGGCCGGGACCGAGGGCGATGCGGAATACACCGTGTTGTATTTTATTTATGTCATACCCACCCAAGAAAACACGCCTTTCAATGCAAAATGAGCAGAAATTGGTGTCCCTAAACCCAAAAAGTGCAACAACATCAATTCCAACGTCCGAATTTTGCATTCGAATTTTCGAAAGCGGTGCACGCGGTTAGGGCGAAACGCGTTCGAATCGTTCTATGGAACATTTGGAAGCCCCGGGCCGTACGTGTAAAGAACCCCCGGGCCGTACCGCTAGTTATCACACGGGCCGGAACACCCGTATCGAACGTAATTGCGGCCCCAGGTAGTACATAAATATGGGAGATATAAACATATATCTATATCTATCTATCTATCTATCTATCTATCTATCTATCTATCTATCTAT